CCCTTCCTCTCTCCCTCCCTTCCCTTCTCTCCTCCTCCTCCCCCTCCCCCAACACTCTTCATATTTTCAACTAGATTTATAAAAAAAAAACTTCTTAGATTATAAGGAAACAAGTACCCAAAAAATTCGAGTTTTAGTCTTCCTATCGAAAAAAATACTTTTTGTTTGACCATCACTCTTCTACGTAAAAACTGTAAGGAAAATATCACCCATAATCAGAGAATTGCTTACTACCCCCCCCCCCCCTCCCTTTGACTACCAGTTTAAGAATCATTGATCTAGACCAGGGGTTCCCAACCAGGGGGGGCCACGGGGTACTTTCTGGGACCATAGACTATGAAAACATGTCAAATTAAGCTATATGTCACCTCACCTTTCATATAATTATCTCTCACATATCAATGAATTGGGAATGTTCAATAAAGTGATCTTGGTCTATAACTACTAGCACCATGACCCTATTCATAACTAGTAATAACTGAATCTTAAAAAAAAGATAACAGTGAACGGGGATGATGATTAAATATTGGTCGGGGAACAGCATGAACAATGTTGGGAAGTAATTGATCTAGACAGCGCCGTGTCTTTGTTTCTTTCTTCTTTATTGTTTTTTTGTTCATTGTCTTCAGCTATCACTTATTTAATTTATCACTTATTTAATTATCATTATTTATCACTTATTTAATTATCACTTATTTGATTGATCACTTATTTATTATCACTTATTTAATTGTCTTCAGCTATCACTTATTTATTTATCACTTATTATATAACTATCACTTATCACTTACTTATTCCACGATTACATTATGCGGATCCTGGAATAGAGCCTTTGTTACTTATCTGGAATTGAAGATTTAGTTGTTGTTGTTGTTGTTTTTGGAGGGGTTGTATATAGTTCACGTACCAAGCAAGAAGCCAATGTTTTCTTTTACCCATAACGTTACCTTGTGTAGTGCTATTTCTGTGTCAGGTTTTACTATTGCAGTGTTGCACTTTCGTGAGGACATGTTCTTGAGTTTTTACGGCTATGTTTTATGCCAGATGCGCACGTGTCTAATAATTCTTTTAAAAATACATGTTTACATTTATATACAGTGATGGAAACTCTGGACATGGTTGGTTCGGAAAAAAAGCGACTATACTAGGAAACGTTTTTTTTTTTTTTTTTTCTTTTCATTTACTTTTTTTCTCTCTCTCTTTGCTGTATTGCGTTAGTTCGTAAGCTCTCGTTGCTGTGTATTCATTTTTCAGGTTGATTGTCGATGTATAGCGTGCCACTTTTTTCTTTCTTTCTTTTTTTTTCTCTTTTTTTGACTATTCTCGGAATACAGTCTGTTCGAACCTTTTTTTTTTTTTCTTTCTTTCTTTCCTTCCGCTACATTTTTACTGTCCTTTTATGTCATGCTGTAAATAATTAGCTCTTTCCACAAAGTTTTTCTTGCTGTTTTACTGTTGTATCTGTTGTTAGTGTTGTAGCTGTTGTTGCTGTTGTCGTTTTGATTTATTTACAACGGGGCTACATTAACCCTCTGATGGTATTTTCAGTTACTTGTATACACTCATTGCCTACTTATTAATTGAGAAAGAGAACAGTCACGGAAAGCAGGAATTAAAAAAATAATAATAATAAAATAATATATATATAACCGTGACGAGAATTACATTCTAACAAAAAATCTATCCTGTGTAACTTGTAATAAATGTGTCTCCTATTTACATTTAAGTCTTATAGCTATGAGATATCCATGTTCTTTTACCTGTAACTATTCCCCTTGCATTACCTCCTATCCTATCCCGAAGACCTATACTTAGAATTACCTGACTATTATCCTATTACCTGTGACTATCCTATCCAGAAGACCTAAATTTACAGTTACCTGCAACTATCCTATCGCGAAGACCTACAGTACCTGCGTCTATCCTATCCTGAAGAAGACCTTGGACTATCCTACCTGTGTGTGAAATCCTACCTATCTGTGACTATCCTATCTGTGACTATCCTATCCAGAAGACCTAAATTTACAGTTACCTGCGTCTATCCTATCCTGAAGACCTATACCCAAGAATTGGCTGCGAACTGTCCTATTCCTAAAACCAGAACCATTGTCGATGTAAACAAAATTTCAACTATTCCTAATAACTATAATCCCTACCATCGATTCCTAACCTTTCCCCTATAATATCTATATAATATAATATAATATGATATAATTACTATAATATCCAGATTCCTATCCCTTACCTGCCTGTGAAGTTGAGTTTGAACTTCTCTTTCGTCTATAAAATTGGTTTTCTTTCTTCCTTGCGTGTGAGGTAGGCTTTGAACTGTCCTTATGATTCATTCTAAATTCCTCGAAACAAAGTTCAAACTGTTCTTGATGTTCTTAATGCCTGTTTTGTAATTATTTCTCGTCATGTCAGTGTTTGGAATGTCGCTTTGTCCCTAAAATTTTGTCTTTTATCCTTTAGACTTTTCTTTAAACTCCCCCCCCCCCCGAACTGTTCCTCTTATCTTCCTTAAATACTTCGAACTCTTCTTTAAACTCCCCTCCCTCTCCCCCCCCTTTGACGTTCCTTAAACACTTCGAACTCTCCTCTAACCTCCCCCACCCCTCCGTTCCTCTCCCTCCCACCCCCCCTCTTACAGATGACGTTCCCTCAAACACTTCGAACTCTTCTCTAACCTCCACCCCACCCCGTCCCCCCTCCGCACCCCACACACCCGCCCCCTCCATTCGTCTCCCCCCTTCCGTTCCTCTCCTCCCCCCACCCCTCTATTACAGATGACATTCCCTCAAACACAATCGAACTCTTCTCTAACCACCTCCTCCCCGTTCTTCTCTCTCCCCCCCCCCTCCTTTTTGCAGGTGACGTCGGGATGTTCGTGGTGAGCGGCCTGACCCCCGGGATCGACTACCTCATCACGGTGGTCAGGTTTAACAGTCACGGGAGGTCGGCGCCGATCACCCTCGAGGCGTTCACGCTGCGGACGGCGGAAAACAGGATGAGTTCGTATCCCCTACGAGTTTTTGTTTTGTTTTATTTTGTTTGTTTGTTTTTCTCTCTCTCTTTTTTTTTTTCTCTTTTTTTTTTTTTTTTGCTCTCTGTTTATTTTTTTGTTTGTTTGTTTTTCTCTTTCTCTGTTTATCTTTTTTTTTCCTCTCTCTTTTTGCTCTCTGTTATCTTTTTGTTTGTTTTAGTTTTTCTTCTTATTATTGGTTTCTCGTTATCTTCTCTCTCTCTTTTTTCTTCTTCATTTCTTTCTCTTTCTCTCTTTCTTTCTTTCTTTCTTTCTTTCTTTCTTTCTTTCTTTTTCTTTTCTTTCTTTCTCTCTCTCTCTCTCTCTCTCTCTCTCTCTCTCTCTCTCTCTCTCTCTCTCTCTCTCTCTTCTCTCTCTCTCTCTCTCCTCTCTCCCTCTCCTCTCTCCTCTCCCTCTCCCTCTCCCTCTCCCTCTCCCTCTCCCTCTCCCTCTCCCTCTCCCTCTCTCCTTATTATTTTTTGCTTCTTCTTCTTCTTTCTTTCCACTTCCACCCCCCCTTTTTTTCTTTCGGTTCTTTTATAGACGAAGAAAAAGACTAAACCAAAATAGGGTAGACTTAAGAAAATTATACATTAAAGAAAACGGGAAACGAGAGGAGGACTGATGAATTACCGAGGTTATTACAACGATTAGCCCGGATTAGATAAAACAGATCATAACAGACCGTCAGTAAAGATAAAGGCTGGCCGTCAAGCTGATAAAGGCTGACGTGCTGTTAAAGCTGACGCGGAAATAACGATAAGATTAATCAGAGCAATTATCATAAGTAAATTTGACAGAGGATATACTTTTAGCAAGATCACTGCAATGCAATATTATCGAAATCTTAGGCTGACATAAAGATGGATGAGAGAGAAGGACGGAGAATAGGAAGAAGGACGGGAGGGAGGAGGAAGGAGAGAGGAGGCGGGAGGATGAGTGGAATGAGAGGATAGAGGAAGAGGAGGAAGGGAGGAGGAGAGAGGGGAGTTAGATGACTGCAGGAGGATGAGGAAAAGTGAGAGGAGGAGAAGGAGTGAGATGAAAGATGATGGATGGAGAGGAGAGGAGAGGGGACGAGAGATGAAGAGAGGAGGGGGGAGGGAATGAATTACGAGAGGGGGATAGAGGTGGAGTTGAGGAGATGGAGATGAGCTGTGGATGGTGGACGGGTCGAGGGGAGAGAG